CAGCCATGTCGCAAAAATTTTTAGGAGAACGTGTAGTGTTGTGTTAGAGCAAAACAACAATTCTAGTTGACTAAAAAAACGCGTTTATCCAGCAACAACAGCAAGAGTCAGCTTATAAGATATGTTCGAGCAGGGATGGTCTGATAGATTGACTAGTGACACGGACTATTTGACGGACCATGGGTTCGATTTCGGAATTGTCGATTGATATTTCAAAGTTTGTACGTACGTACGTACCTTTAAAGTTATGCATGTGCGCCCGAGGATTATAAAAATTAGATTGCAGATGTTTATATTGATAAAATGGAAAACATTGGTTTTTTTTGGTTTTATTCAACGTTTTTTACATTGTAAAGTCACATAATGGCAAATTCCAGCAGAGAAACAAAGAACCTTAGCAATGATGATTATCAAGCCATTACCGAAGGCCTGAAAAAGATTTACAGTCAAAAAATCAAGTCTCTGGAAACTACTTATAATTTTGAGGGATTTCATTCACCTCCGTTAACAGATAGTGATATAGAAGCCAAACCTATTGTATTACTCATGGGACAATATTCGACTGGAAAAACAACCTTCATAAAATATTTATTAGAAAAAGAATATCCTGGTTCGTTGATTTATATATTTATTTTATTTTTATTTTGTTTTTTATTTTAGGTCAAATATGTGTTTGGAGTTATAAAAATTAAAATTTGTTTTCTAGGAAGTCACATCGGTGTAGAACCAACGGTAAGTGTTAGACAAACTTTCATTTTTATCTATGAAAAGGGATGATATAGGCGAGCTTTGGCTGCCTTTCGCGAATTTTGATAATATATATTCTCTTAAACAAGGCAGGAAAGCTCTTCAAAGGGTATTAGTTGATGAAAAATGCATATATTTATTTATATTTTTAATCTAGACGGATCGATTTGTTGCTGTAATGAATGGAGTGGAAGAAAAGGTTCGTAGGCTTTATAAACTAGAATAAATTTTTTTATGTCAATTTATTTATCATTGGGTATTATTTTTTTAATATAGGTCATTCCTGGCAATGCTGCAGCTGTAGATTCACACCTACCTTATCGAGGACTCAATAAATTTGGACAAGCGTTTTTAGTCAACTAGAATTGTTGTTTTGCTCTAACACAACACTACACGTTCTCCTAAAAATTTTTGCGACATGGCTG